AAGGCAACAATCGCGATGGCTTGGGGTGGTGCGATTTTGGTGACGTTCTGAATGCTATTGGTGGAAGGGTGACAATGGGCGGTCCTGCCCACACCCCCAGCATGCTACAGGCTGTAGTAAGCAGTGACTCTCAGTGGCGTCAACAAAACCGCACCACCTCCAGCCATCGTGATCACTGCCTTTAAGTCCGCACACACACGTAACTACTCCTCTTTTGCATCTGGAACAAAAATAATCGAGCATACTATATATTGATCATTTATTATATATTGATATTACTCATAATCGATGCACTTCCTTAAAACAATTATCAGACTTTCATATTTTTCGAGCACCCTGAACATGTCAGTCAAGCATTTCAATGAACTTCGAAGTACTGCTACAGGTGACATCGACGACTCCCTACCTGATAATTATCGCTCTGTTTATTCGTGGAATCACGTTGAAGGGTGCTGGTGTAGGAGTTTATCATTTTCTTGGAAAACCGGACATGACGAAGCTGCTCAAACGTGAGGTAGGCGCAAACACGCACGTAAGGATGTACGTGTTAGTTTTACCATTGAAGAGCTAAATTCACGGGTGAAAGGGGGTGTGCATTTACGCTACCTCTACGATCGGATCACCCCCAGCAGCAAGTCCATTCATCTCCCTACTGTTCAAGAACCGATAGTAGATGAGTATTAGATAGAGTTTCTTGGTTTTCTTGTGCCTTAGATTGTTAGATGGAACATTTGTCCATAGGCCTAATATCTTGACTGAAATGACGTATTCAGAGGTACCCTGTGAGGGGAGAGATCCGCTGCCACATGGAGTAAATAACAACTAACATGCCGAGCTTGGAGAAGAGGGAATTTGAATCAAATACAGTCATCTAGACCGCGGTTGCTCGCACTATCCAAGACAACGGTGGAAAAGCTCTGAATGTGACGTGTCTTAGAAGCAATAGAAATGGGATGGTGAGATGAACTGCATACTGTGCCTGAAAAAACAGCGGCGAGTTAATGAGCCGTTCAAATCATGTGTATTGCGATGGCGCGCACATGCTTGATGCAGGCATGGGCTGTTTGCATGTACTCAACTGCCTTGACTTGGCTTTCAGTTTACCCATAACACTGATTTAACCCTAGTTTGATGTCAAAATGACCTTGACCTAACCTTGGAATGAAGGGAGGATTTAGGTTGAGGCAGGTTGGGGGTCAGGTAGGGTTTAGATCGGGTATCAGTCAGGGTCACTCTGAATTGCCGCGCCGACGCGCCCGCGGCACCTTATTTCGCATCTCAACCCATACTTACATAATATAAACGGCATTTTTTGAAGATAACCGATGATTCTAGACGTGGATAGCTGCTCTTGTGCAAACATGCTACGCAATTCGTATAACTTCGTATAATGTATGCTATACGAAGTTATGCAGATCGGAAGAGCAAACAACTCTACCCAGTTGATATCCGTCGATAGACCACTTTCAAGAAAGCAGATCATCGACTATTCCAGGACTCGTGGATTGTAGTGTTGGGCATAATTGTAATGAGCATTTTTGGTGGCCTTGCTGTTTTCTCTACTCTTGGTTACTTGTCGCATGAGCTGCGGAAACCTATTGACGAAGTTGTAACTAGTGGTAAGTTCTGCCGATATTCGTACTTGAAACTCCTAGTCTAACCCGTCTACGTTGCAGTTCAATCCCAAGGTTACCCGCTTTCGTCCGTAGCCCTCCTTCCCTTCGTTTTTCTTCCTGATCATTTCATGCCTTACAATTTTATCACATATTGTCAAATCGCTTACCGTCATAGCCCTAGCCAAGGTCGACTGTCCTATTCAGGCGAGGGAGGATCCGTCTTGTGAATTTAGAGAGTGGTATCTTATAGGCCTAAAAGGCTGGGTGTTCTATCTCTGAAGGATATGAAAAGTGGCATTTTCGAGAAGTTGGGAAAACTTTGCGAAATTTAGAGACCATGGAGGGTTGGAATTTTGGAGAATTTGACAAGTTTTAGTAATCGCCCGCGCTCTTTCCACTTCTGGGATTTTATAGGGAGGGGATTCTACTCTGAGTGAACTATGTTAAACTAGGCTAGATAGCAGTAGTGATCCCATCAAGCAGCAGAGGTGGAAGGTACGGAAGAATGGAGTGGGAAGGTCGTATATCTGAAATCGTTCCCACGTCGCGTGTGACCTCAGTTCCAACCTTCCCAGCAGGCTTCATTACATTTACTATCACCTTTGCCGTGGTCTTTTACTATTGCCTAAAGCGGAAGTGGTGTAGTGGCAAGTGGCGCGCTCACCACGCGAGCGGTCCGGGGATCAAATCCTGGGTCGTGAGTCGCCCGGGCCAACCAAGCCTTCCATCCCTCCGGGGTCGGTTAATTGGTACCAGACTTGTCTGGGAGGATAAAAACACTGACTTGTACATCGGCTGGCCCCCGCAAGTCATTGTATAGGCCACATCGCATTCAAATGCCACTACGATCATGATGCGTGGCGCATCCTAAAGCGGGATCGATCGACGCCAAATGCTTTATCGTTTATTTTCACCACGGTCAGTAGAAGAAGAAATATCGTCAGCAATTAAGGGCTGTCGTTAGCATTTGTCGCCTATCCAGAAGCAATGGCAAAAATGCCATGGCCAACTCTATGGGGACTCATGTTCTTCAGTATGCTTTTCTTTCTCGGAGTCAGTTCACAAGCAGGTAAGTTCTAGTCGTAAGTCATAATGTCGTAGTAGCTAACTTCACCATCAGAAGAGGGTTACCGTAACTAAAAAGGTGTAAGTAACACTGCT